CCCATCTCCGGCGACTGTGACTTCACACACTAAGCTGCTCGGCAGCTGCAAGCCCTGCCGCCCTTTCCCTCCTCCATGTCCTTACCCCTCAGTGCCTGCAGGTCCCCTCCCCGTTTCTCCTGCACTTTGCTGTAAGGGCTCCAGGAGGGCAGGGTCTCCTGTCCACCCCCAGTTCCCACAAGGGTGGGACTTGACGGTTTGGGCTCCGAACCCATTGGTTCCCTCCTCTCATGTCAAGTCCCTCGAGATTCAGGTCGTAATCCACGTACCTCCTGGGACCCAGCCAGCCCCACCGCCATCAACTGGGGCCACACAGCAGGGTCCAAAGCCTGCAGGGCACCGGGACTGCAGGCAGCACAAACCCGCTCCTCACCTGACATCGCAGCTGCTGGGGTCCTACTCACACCCGTATGCGGTGTCCTGGGAGCCTCTGCCCGGTTCAGGGAGCCCGTGGCTAGGACCCTTCCTTGCTGGCATCTGCGACCTCAGTCTGCAGAGCGAGGGAGCTGCCGCCTCACCCAGACACTTCCACTTCCTCATTGGGCCGCCACGGCGGGAGACGGGGACGCCCCAGCACCGGAAGCTGGGTAGCTGCCCCCCCATCTCAAAAGCAAACTCGGGCAGGGTTGCTCCTTTATTGCAGGGTAAAAGGGGGATGGGGACAGCAGCTCCTTTATGAAAGGAAACCGAGGGCCTCGGGGTGCCACCCGGGCCCCAATCTGGGGCATCCATGGTCAGGGCTGTGCTCAGGCCCCTCTTCTGGGCGGCCGCCCCCGGCCTTGGCCGTGGTCCTGGGCACCCCCTCTGCGTCCCAGCTTGGCCAGAGTCCCGCGGGGCCTGCCCTGGGGCTTGGGTGGCCTCTGGCCAGCGCCCTGACCCCGGCCTCGTGGCCTCGGCTCCTTGGCCTGCTGCTTCCTGCCCGGGGGCCTGGCGAGCCGTCTCCGCTTGGTCCTGGGGAACATGTCTGTGGGGAGACACCGAGTCAGGGACCCCTGTGAACAAGGACAGGCCCTGGGAGCCCCACCCGGACCCTGCCACACACCTTCATCAGGCTCCTCGCCCACGGCCTGGCGGAAGTACTCGGCTTCGTCCTCCTCCTCCTCCTCCTCCTGCTGCCGCCCAGGCCCCGCTGCCTCTAGGGGCGTCCCAGGGTCTTCAGCGTCGCTGTCCCCTTCGGCCCGGGCCCCGGCTCTCTTCATGCCCGCCAGGCTCTTCTTCCTGGAGGGGCACCGGTCAGTCACTCAGCAGCCGGGGACCGCGCACCCCGGGCCCAGCCCTGGTGTCCACACGCACTTGTGGGCCTCGCGCCGCTCCCGCTTGCGCTGCACATTCTGGGCCTGCTGCTCCTGCCTCTGCGCCTTGAGCCGCAGCTTCTCCTCCTTGGCCGCCAGGATGGCCTGGAGCTCCTCCTCCGTCTTGTGCACTGCGAGGGGACACAGGGTGAAGATCCAGAATCAGAGATTTTTGTTTTTTTGAGATACAGTCTATTCTACCAGCTTTGAACTCAAAATGATATAGTCTAGGCTGGCCTTGGACTTGTAGCAATCTTCCCACCTCAGTCTCCTGGGTGGTGGGATTATAGGCCTGAACCCCTATAGCCAGTTGAGACTAACATATTCTTTTTTTAAAAAAAATAAAATTTCAAAGCAAAATAAGTGAATAAAAATAGTTACTACACTGTGTATCATACTCTTAAAAGTACTTACTTAGGGAACAAGGCATAGACAAAAAGACTTCTTTTCAAAGAGAAACGGACAATAGCCCAAAACTTTCTTTTCAGTGAACTAAGAAACTAGGTATATAAATGAAACAAGTTAGCATATATATTTAAATATTTTTGAAGGAACAGAATAGGTAATTTGAACAGTTATTTGAACTTCTTGCTCCCTCTTATATATCTGTCTTTTATGAGACATATATATTCTTATAAGTCATAAGGTGGTTTAAATTTTTTATATGTGTTTATTTTGTGGTTTTCATGATGGCTATATCTGAGGCAATTAGACAGAAGACTTCTTAACAGTTGCTATGTTAGCTTATGTTACATATCAAGATATTAAAAAAATTAGTGGCCATAAAGACCAAACTGTTACAGTTGTGAAATCCCCTCCAGAAACAAGACTTGAAGCACCTGACTCCATTGAGAGCCTACAAATAGATTTGGCAAGTACCCAAGGACCCACTAAGGTTTGTGTCCAGAAGAGACTGAAATACACAGTCTAATGAAAACAAATGAAAGGGCCGAGGACTTAGCTCAGCGGTTTAGTGGCCTGCCTTGCAAACGCAAGAACCTGATTTCAATCCCTGGTACCAAAAAAAAAAAAGAAAGAAAACAAATGAAGACCACACGGCCCGCCGAAGCCGCCCACCCTAGACCACTGCGTGGTGGTGCTGGGGACTCCGCAGGCTGGGCGGGGGCAGCCTCCACATGCCGTGCAGGGCATGGCCGGGAAACCCTGGCTCTGGGGCCCACGGAGGCTGTTCCTATAGACTTCCCGACAAGTGACACTCTTCCTTTTTCTGGCCACACTGAGGACCGAACCCGTACTGAGTCCCAGCCACAACCCTTTTGTGTCTTTTATTTGGAAACAGGGCCTTGTCAAATCACCAAGTTCCCCAGGCCGGGCTCAAACTTATGACCCCACCTGCCCAGACCTCCCAGACTGCTGGGGTCACAGCGGTGCCACCACACTCAGCTGCGAGGCATCCGTGACCCTGGGGCCAGGGATTAGGGGCTTAGATGCAGAGACTGAGTGCTTACACCCGGGAGCGGTGGGAACAAGACCTCTGGTCCCGCCCCCTTGAACACAACCTCAAGCCAACAGCTGCAGCGCTGCAGGCCTCAATGTCCCCCCACAGAGCGAGGCCGTGACAAGGTCCCGCGGCACCTGGGGGCCGGCCCACCTTGTGCACGTTGAGGGAGGGGAACAGGTTCTGGAACATGGTGGCCATGAGCTTCACGTGCATGCCGTGGGGGCCGAAGCTGTTGAGCACGAGCAGAGGCGCATGGGTGAACTGCTGCTCGTGCATGCGGTGCCGCCGCAGCGAGGAGACCACGTCGCGGACCAGCGTGTACTGCAGGGAAGGGGACGGGACGGTGGGTGGGTGGGCGGCTGCCCGGGCCGGCCCTACCCAAGGTCCCCTGCACCTCACCTTATGGATCTGGAAGGTCAAGGTGGGGCCCCCTGGAAGGCGCATGAGCTTCTGCGGAGGGGAGAGGGCGGTCAGGGTGGAGGGACCCAGCAGGCAGGGCCAGCAGGACCCGCCGCCCCTCTCTTCAGAGCGTTTACTTTGAAGCCTGAATCACAGCAGCTCAGAGGCACAGGGTTCATCCCGAGAGACGGGGCAGGGCGGGCGGGGCCGGGGCGGAGGGTGCGGGCGGCTCACCAGGTAGATGCTGGTGTCGGTCCTGCTCAAGATCAGGAAGTGCGTGACTCCCAGGGGCCCAGCCACCGCCACGCAGTCCTTCAGCGTGTTCTTCCTGCGAACCTGGGGATCCCAAGGAAAAAGAATGAAAATCACACATCTCTCTTCTGGGCGAAGGTGACTCACCTTAGCCCAGGCGCCTATTACATTCTTTGCAAATGGGCCTCCTGCGTAGAGGATGAGAACTCTCCGCTCTGCCTCCAGTCCTTATATTTATTTAGGTTCTTTTTGTTTCGTTTTTAAGAGCACAAAAGTTTATTGAAGAAAGCTTCTGTCTAAGAAAAACAGAAGGGGGACCGGAAAGCGGGTTGCCTGCTCACCCTGCTTTTGTTTTTTTAAGATTGGGCCTGGCTATGTAGCTCAGGCCCGTCTTGGGCTCACTATGTAGCCCAGGTGGGCCTGGAAGTCGCGGGGGTCCTCCTGCCTCAGCCTCCCGAATGCTGGGATCACACGTTGCGCCATCACGCCCGGCTCCACTGCCAGCCTTTACCGTTGGGCCCAGGTCCCCCACTAAGTCCCAAGCTGCTTGCCCTGGCGACACCACCCCAAATTCCGGAGGCCAACGTCCCCACAAAGATCCCTTTCTGCAGCCGTGATGCCCGGGGCAGGGAGGGCGGATCCGACCTGCAGGCGCGTAGCTGTGAGCGGCTCCATGACCCTCCGCACATCCAGGCTGAGCTGCCTGACGCTGCGGCCCGCGCGGCCCCGCGTGAACACGAA